GAAAATCGGAGCTTGTGGAGTATCCTGAAGAAGGACATCCCCTGCCTTTCCCCTACATGGCCTCAGCTAAAATGTTAATCTACTTCGATTACAAGTAATGTCACGTTTGTTTGTTTTCTCACGTGTTGTCGGGTTTTTCCAATCCAATCCACCTTTATATTGTTTAATCCTTAAAACAACCAAAGACATCATAAAATAAAAGACGTAACAAGCTCACAAGGCCGGGCAATAAAATACATATAATATATACATTAAAGGGGAAACTTGGCAACTTTTTTCACGCTTAATAAACCCCGTTTTTAGAAATCGTTTGGCATGCTTAAAATGACCTGTTCTGGTGAAAATGGTGACCCCCCCCCCGACCCCCTCAGGCGCCCCAGGCGGAAAACCAAACTTGAAACTTTGAACACGTCCCGGTTAATTGGCAAAACTAAGTATTGAGCGAGAAACCACGAACGGACTCTAACGGCAATTCACATAAAACCACACCCGCCCTCAATACCGGTTAGTGGTTTAATGTATTACCCACCCTCAGGGAATAAAAAAAGGACACATCAGCCAGCCGGAGAAAGGGAGGAGGGCCCGCAAGTGAGTTTCTTTATGACGTTGTTGTGAAATACCGACGTCCAGAGCTGTAGGGGGAGCTCGCTGGGAGAAAACGTGCTACGACAAAAGTGAAAACCAGCGAAGAGATGCCTGGAGTTGCCAAGTTCCCCTTTAAAAGACATAAAACGAAAAGCAATCAAATAAGAAATTAAATCAAGTGAATAAAGTCGACATCTTACTTATAAACAGACAGAGAAGAGGCCTGTTCAACGTGCAGTTCAGGTGTTGTGGGATTTTGTGACGTGGTAGTTTTTCTAACATCACTCTTTCTTTACCTTTTGTCATGAAGGGAGGAGCTGCCTGACGCCGCCTACATGCACCAGCTCCTTGGACTGAACCTGCTCTTCCTGCTCTCACAGAACCGCGTGTCTGAGTTTCACACAGAACTCGAGAGACTGAGCGCCCGAGACATTCAGACCAACGTATACATCAGACACCCGGTGTCCTTAGAGCAGGTGCTGCCGTTCACCGCTTCACAAAACACACGTTTATTGCGTTGTTGTTCTGCAGTGACTGAGTATCAAGGGCAACATTTTGATATTTGTGTGTCCAGTTAGTAATTTGCACCCTCAAATTAATCATTTTGTTTTCTAGAATGACTTTATTAATTACGTAACTCAATATATTTACATTATCGGAGCAATAGGACTTGTTGTAGGTTGTCTGACTACAGTGAATTTGACAGAAGCATCCAGAGGTTAAGTGACTAACAGCGATGTAGTGGTGCCCTTAAATTACTGAATGAATTCTCTCAAATAATCTGTAATGAGTTGAAAAATAATCAGTGAAAATCTGCGAGACAATCACCGATATTTAATACTTTTATTTAGACTTTAGCCTGAGATTCACAGATGTGCGTAATGTACTCACACATTATTATTTCAAAGATTTTACAACTTACAACCTGCACACGTTTATCAAAATGTTCCCCCAGATAAATCCAGGCCTCTGTGTAATTCTCTAACTGTGTCAATAATGAATTGTATGTTAACACCACCTTAATGTTTTACACTCTCTTCAGTATTTGATGGAGGGAAGCTACAACAAGGTATTTCTGGCCAAAGGCAACATCCCCGCTGAGAGCTACACCTTTTTTATAGATATTCTGCTCGACACAATTCGGTAAGAATCCACATGGTAACGATTCCTAATGTCTGTTCTACGTTTGTTTCATTGATACAGTCCTTTATGTGCTATAAATAACCAATGCTATTGATTGTTTCTGTGAAAGTTACTTGTATATTTTGAGGTCCCAGTACATTCCTTATTAAAATGTGTCCATGGAAGATACCAGAGTACGTCATGATTGGCTAAAACAATATATCAGGACACCTTCAGCATAGTTACGATCAGCAGTTTAACCACAGCAATAAAACCGATAATACGACTGATCCTTTAAAGATAACTTCAACTAAAACTGATCTTTTCAACTGCAGTGACGAGATCGCGGGTTGCATAGAGAAAGCGTACGAGCAGATCCAGTTCAGTGAAGCCACCCGTGTGCTTTTCTTCAGTTCGCCCAAAAAGATGACAGACTATGCCAAGAAGGTTTGTATATTTAAAGTTGAGATCAAACTTAAAAACTGTGTCTACTGTGTTTTGAATTTGCATATAACCAGAGGGGAAAGTGTTTTTTGTTTTATCTTGAGGTTTGGTGGTTAAAACATACGAAGATTCAATCAATTAAAAATATAAAGGAGTACATTTTAAGCATTTCAGGTGTCAGCACTATTAGATGTTTCTTCATAAGTTGTTTGTATCTTAATTTGAAATAATTTTAAGAGCAACATCCTGTTAAAGGTCCAGAAAATAGTATTTAAATAAAGGGAAACTAATAAGACGGTGTAGGTAAGATGGAAAAGCAGATTGTCTCATTGTTCTTCTTCAGATTCTTGCCTACAAATAATAAAACTGCCAAAACTGCCGAAGCTGATTTTGAGTTTAATTTCAGAGAGGATGGAGTTTGAGCCCCGACGGCTATTACTCTTTCACCACTCAGCAGCAGCGGACAGAAGAGGTGACCATCCCCTCCACGGAGCTGGCACAACAGGTCATCGAATATGCACGACAGCTGGAAATGATTGTGTAATCCGCCCCCGGGAAACACACTCGACCATGTACAGGCACACTCAGACACACGCCGCCGATCCAGTGTGCATCCAGTCGGCTCAAACGCAGTTCTCCTGAGGAATATCAGATTCATTGATTGCCAGAGTGGATTTTGTTTTGTCCCCATACCTCGGAAATGTGTTATTCTTTCTGTATTGTTTGGTTTCATTTTTAAAAGATGGGGAACAAAAGTAAAAGTACGACAGACGACCAGTGCGTTCAGGAATTTCTTCACTTCTATCTTTATTGAAGACATTTGAGGGTTTAAATGTAGTAGTTCACTTTTTTTAATCCAAGATCTATTCCAACACTGAAATTCAGCTGGTGACCCAACAAGAAGAACTTAAGTCCAGCTACTACATTTAACACTCTCGAGTTTCAGCTCTTGTTTTTTTTTTTATTTTAGAAGTAGATGAAAGTTAAAAACAACCACCACCTTGTGACTTTTCTGTTTCACACAAAACTACCAACAGAACTAAACATTTCCCCCCCAAATTCGAGCAAACTCTTTTTGTATACAAAGTTCATTTTCTCCTCAAGAGCTCACAGAAATGTATTGCCCTCGCCTTGTATCCTAGCAACTGAGAGAATTGCCACTGAAGTTTGAGTGTTTTCTAAATGGTAATGCCTCTTCCTCCCTAGATGGTTTGTAATCCAGTTTATCTTAAAATGAAAATCTTTGTCTGCAATAAACGATTCAGAAAATAAACTTGAATGAGTGTTTGTTTCAGTCATTTGCAGACCCCCTTTTAACTCTTTTCAAAATGCTGATCGATAACGTGACACACATTTTTAGGGTCTTCTCTCATTGGTGAGAATCTCCTGCCTCCTCCTGCGTCTCTCTCAGCGCTAAACAAGCTGCACTTCTTGCTGTGGTGACCCAAGGAGGCTCACGCAGGTAGTTCGGGGCTTCATCACACCTGTGGAATAAAAAAAACAAACAAAGGAAAAGTTTTAAATGCAGTTAATCAGATCTGAGTTTAAAACTGAGTGTAATGTGTAGCTCACCACTTTTGGACGTTTGGTGGCAGACCTGTCCCGGGGTTGTGGTGACAGCGCACCTTGCGGGGACACGACTGATTGACTGTAAACGGGAGCCAGCGACCCTCAACGCGGTCTTTGTTTTCAGGAGTGACGCCTGGCTCCTGTTTCTCTCTTTCAACCTCGTTCTTCCAGTTTATCGCTCGAATAGCGACATTTCTGGTATTGTTATTGGGCTGGTTTTGATTTAATGCTCTGAGTGTGCGTTTAGTCTCACACGTAACAGCAGTATCTTCAACTACTGGGACTTTGATGTTGACTTTTTGCACGGAAGATGAAGTGTCCGTGTTGTTTTTGTAGGGTTGAAGTATCTTTATTGTGTTTTCTTCCATTACAGTTTCTTCAGATGTATGCTGGGAGCTCTTACCGTCGTCTCCTGGCTCATTTTTACCATTAATGACCTGAGCTTTTGACTGATTTGACCCTTGTCCTTGACCCTCTATAGGTGTGACGGCCTCCACTTGAGCGATACCCGGTGTTGCGGTGTTTTGCTCCACAGCGTCGCGAGCCTTGTCCGTTGCGTGGCCGGTCAAGTCGGTGCTCGATTCGGTCACGTAAGAGAGACCACGACTGGATTTGTCGACGTTTGCTTTTGTCTGCGTCTCTGCGTCTTTGCTCTGTAGGTTTTCTGTAGTCACACCTCTGACCACCTCGCTGTATGTGCGACGTACAGGCGCTCGCGTTTTAGAGGCAGGAAGTTGAGGGAGCGTCTCTCGTTGTGCTTTGGTCCCAAAACTGGTGAAGATGGGAAATACAAGTTCATAGGTTACCAGTTATATATAGAAACTTACTTACAGTGCATATGAGACAGACTTAATCTGGTAGTACAGTAGTTCCCAACCTTTTTCCTGCTTAGGTGACATATAATATGGATATTCCATAGTGGATGAATTTTTAGGGAACTTTTATACAATTATCTGTCTGTATTTTGTATTTTTTTTTAATGATTTTTAACAATCCCGCAGACTTAAAAGGCTTCTTTTTTTGACAAATTCAGTGTTTTCTTGTCCTTGACGCTTCACCATTGTTCTATTAGACAATTTTCTTTACAGAAATTAACAAAATGCTGAGATACTGCATATTTTTTAAGCTTTCTTACACCCACGTGAAACTTTGGCGACCCCTAGTGGGGGTCCCGACCCGCAGATTGGGAACCACTGTGGTAGTGCTACTCTTGAACAGGTCATAAAACAGTAGGGCAGCTTCTTAAAGAGATATTAATTCATTAATATAGCATATATTTAGTTTCATATAGAACATTTTTGTGTTTAATGCTGATAAAATGTATTTTTATGTCTACAAAGAACTCACCTGCATTTAAACTCTCTCTGACTACACATTACCCGCCTGTTTGCCTGTTGCTGGACCGGTGCTGCAGCTTTTTTCTGGTGCTGTACAGGTTTTGAAGGTCTTGACGGATGCTGGTTTATTCTTTCAGGTGCAGCCTGTTGGAGGATTGTGGTGCTGTTCTTTGTGTCCTTAGGTTTTGCGGGTGATGTGTGTTTTTGAGTCAAGATGGAGGTAAGATGTGGGATATATTGTACCGGGTCGGCCTTGTGGATGCTTTGTTCTCTGGTTCGAGGGGCATCAACAGCAGGAACTTGGTGCAACCTTGTGGCTTCATTGCCTCGGTTGGGACTAGTGTTGGCAGTGTTTCCGGTTAAATCGTTTGCTTCACCGCGGTTAAAGTCACCGGCCTTTTTAACCACTGCTTCTTCTGCCGTCCCATGTTTTGTGTCCTTATTGAATGGATGCTTTTCCTTTTGGGTCACCTTTTTTGACTGTAGAATACCCATTTTATATTCCGCTTTCCTGCAAAACATATATGTGGTTTTATCAGCAGATTTAAAGGGTAAAGTCTGATATTATTCTATATTTTTCTTATTGTTGACAAATGCCATGAACAGGCCAAACTCACCAATGAACTGGTACTAAGAAGTCTGTTAGGTTTGTGTATTTAAAAGCCTGGTATAGTTTATTCCTCAGTGCCATTTTTAGGAAATTAGTGAACCTTTTTATAAAATGAAACTATGTGTGCAAGATTAAAAAAGATTTTACATTTCCAAAATTGTAAGCAGTGACTTATCGTATTTTAGCTAGAGCACAGTACAGTTTGTTCAAAATTAGAGAGGAAAATTACAGTAAACTAACAACAGAGATTCAAATTATAAAATTATATACCACAAAAACAACCAAGGATACTTTTTGTTGTAAGGAAAACATTATTAAAACAGTGGCCAGTACTAGTTTGGGTGATCAGTGTCGTCTTAATTTGGGATATTTTTTTTGTAAATGTTTATGTTTTATCACTTAAACTCTAAAATTTATTAGGAGAGTTTGAAATATTAATATATATATATATATATGTATATATATACTTACCTAACTTACAACACAAATCAGCAGCAGCCTATTCACAAACAGGATAACGTACGTTACTGAACCAACGGTCGCTAATGAACGTTAGTCTGTCCGAACGTTAGTCTGACCGTTAGTCTGACCGTTAATTAACGTTAATTTCGCAGTAAATGCTAACATTAGATTATCGGTTGTGGTCGGTTGCTCGCTGAAAAACAAACGTGTTTTTAAGCTTTTTTTCAACGTACATTTCGAGTTACACAAGGTTAATCGAAGATATGCACCGCGTAAAATTGATTTATTGATTGAGACGTTGATTAACGTAAGTAAAGTTACGCTAACGGTTAGTTCCAACCGTTGCTAATTTGAATAGTTCGGTGAAGTTGGGGATATATTCAAATTTAACGGATCAATAAGTTGTAAGGGAAACGTTTTAAAAACAGAAACGATGTATTTTCACTAAAATAGACACTCAAGCTACATTAATTAACGTTATTATGTGAGTTAAATTACCTAAGAATACATAATAAAATATATGTGCCTTGCCTCTACTGTTTTATGGTAGATGATATCCAAAAAATGTGATAAAATCTAGTCAAATATATGAGCCTAAAAGTAATATAAAATTAATAATATAGACCTATAATAATACTAATAAAACCTGATGGTTCACAGATCAATCACCACTTTGTGTCCTCAATTAAACCTTTATAAAATAGTATCATTAGGCAATTGCATGACTATATTATATATATTTATATATATTTTTCTAACTTCAAATTTGACTTGAGAAGTGAAGAAACAACCATTCAACTCCCTCAAATTAATGGAAGAAGCACCTGGACCTGGATCAGTGTTTTGAGACAATAACTTTATAAACACAGTAAGGTTTCACTGGGACTTTTTATGTTAAATCAACCAGTTTACAGACACACTGTCGCGGACAAAACAGGGCTCGTCCGGGATTTGAACCCGGGACCTCTCGNNTCATACCCCTAGACCAACGAGCCGTGTGCGCCTCTTCACCGTCACCAATGTCAAGGAAAATTTGCCTTTTATTCTCACAACTCGACTTTCTTGAAGTTTGAACCGTGACTTCACACGACTTTTAACCCGCTGTGCGCCATAAACATCAGTGTTATTGAAATATAGGCAGTAGTTTGACCAGTGAACACCGATAAACTCCAAATTAAAGCTCCTTTTCTTTCTTCTTTAAGTGTTTCCTGAATGAATCCGGGGGGTTTTGCTGTCCATGGTGCTGAAACCGAGCTACCAACACTGGGACAGATTGTGTCTCACAATAAAACACACACAGGGACACAACAACAAGCCAGACTCATGTTTGTGCAAAACAAAAAAACACACGATATACCATTTTAAATTGTATATTTGACCAGTTTTTGTTGTTGTTTTTTAATGTTTGCTCTGTAGAATTTGTTTGTGATAATCAGGGGATCAACCGGAGGTCATTGATGGTTTACACAGCTTTTTTTTTTAATTCACCACATATATATGAATCATTAAAAATCCCCCGGTTACACTGACAGACCCCTGTAGCCCACCTAAAGCCACGATGCTGTCAATGATTAGTGCGGATGTGTTGGCACAGGGCAGGTGGAGTGAGAAAGGGAATAAGCGAGGGAGTGATTTGAAGCGAGAGAGAGAGAGAGAGA